AAAAGTCTGTGGGACAGCGAGGAATGGGCTATTTTATGGACAACCCTCTTCATCTCATGTCAAAGGCAGCTTCAGTATGATACTGCTGGTTTTCCACGCGAAACACCTTACTGGCGTCACATCCTATCATGCCAACAGTACGACTTAGCCCTGGAACTCCCCATCATACCGTAGCAGTTTTCATTATAACCGTAACTACTTTTCGTCTTATCTAACAGACCTTTGTGACGAGGTAGGACCTCAAGGAACAAACGTTTCAGCCAGCGTGACTCGTTAAATCATCGTGATGTGCAAGTCCGACTGCCACGTCAAGGTAGAAGTTATTAGTTGGGTACTTTGTGTCAGTATTCCTTATCTTGGCCAATAATTCCCACTTGATTTCGTACTTCAGATGGTTCCTTTTATAAAGCTCACTGTTGTAAGAGGTGGAAAGAGAATAATGATGTTTTGTTGGTCTAGAACACAGGCGTATGGAATGCATTTTACATTAAGTCTGACGGCTACACCTTTTCTAAAATTCTTTTCTGACAGCCGTCTATGATATTTGAAAGCAGATGGTATAAAGTCTTGGATTACATAACATACTTACGCTGACTTGATGTATGGGAATTTTTGAGGAAATTCAAATAGTTTATAAGATTGGAACCTGTGTCGCAAGTTTATGCATTTGAGGACCTCAGCATTTTATAGTTGTTTACCGAAGAGAAAAAGCGATGTTGAGTCAGGAAACAAGTACACATTCTTGTCATAGGCAATGAATTAGATTGATTGTGAAAGGGCTAATGATACCATCTGCTTGTTCATGCCTCACTAAGTGGAGTAGGCTTTGAACCCATAATCCGTTAGTTTTGTGCACTACCAACGTTGACTTCTACAGGACTGTTTCATTCATACCCAGACAACAGTGGCTTTTTGTTTCTTGGATCGGTAGTTACCTTCAATTTTTCTATCAATAACTAGAGCGTTATGTTGATTATTTTCAGGTGACCATTTACAGTCAAGATGGCTGCTGATGAGCGTTTAGACGTTGAAAGATATGTCGTTTACCATTGAATGTTTTCGTGGGGCAGCAGAAATTCCCCTTTGGAAAGTTACAATCAGTAATCATGAAAATGTTGAATCCTTCAAGCAAGTCAAATAAACAAACATTATCCTTGTTTAGCTTCCCAAAGTATACTGTATCTTCTTTCTTATTTAATCTTCACCAGTCAGTTTTCGTCACTTTTCCTGTTACCTCACATTTTGTTATGTGCACTACTTATATCCATTTCTTTAAGTAGCTTTCTTCACAAATGCACCTAATTCACTTCTTCATGAGTTCAGTTATCGGCTGAACGAATTGGTAGTAAATTTTCCTAGCTTCATAAGTCAGTAACGAAAGTGCAGTTCCTCACGGGAACATGAGCGTTAATGGGTTGACGAGACTCCATGCTGATGAGTTCCACCAGATGCGAAATCTATCGTAAGCAAAGGTTCTTCTCGACTGACTCAAAACATCTAGCAAAAACTAATTAACTCTATTATTTTTGAGATATTCCTGTTACACATATGTGAGTTGTTTTTATATTAGTCTGGTCAGTTTCTTCTGTTAAAAACATGTGTTCTTGTGCACAGGCAGAAGCAGTGGCTCTAAATATGTAAAACATATGTCCAACCACTTATGACAGTATAGCATTTTACCTGGCAAAAGACCCTGTATTAACTTAACTACGTCATTCGGGAAACTAATTAACATGACAAATTGTTAGAACACAGTCTTTGCTATCTAAAATAATGATCTCCGTTCACATATATCACTCTGTCTCAATATAGCAATAAATGTACATTATGCCTTATTTTGGATATTGTATTTCACTTATTCTCATGGATTTATAGCTATAGAGCCTGAAGAACTTACTGAAGACAATTGTTTGCTCAAATTATTCTTGCTCTACATGATAATCACTAAGAGAAATTCTAATGGTGATTTGTGTGGTTTGATTGATCGATGTCAAAGTAGTTTTTCATCTCGGGTAGGCATTACTTGGAGAAACGTTGAGAACCTGTGGGCACACCTTAGCAATGTACTACAAAAACCGTCAGGTTCCTTGGCGAACACTTTAGCATTCAGGCTCTGAGTTGGGATAACGAAGTCCATCTTTCTAAGTCCGGAGATCGACCCCTCATAGGCTCGTGGGTAGACATCGTTGTGGAGTCCCAGACGAGTATGAAACGACGGTTCACTGATACCAGTTTTCGGTGGTTCTCCAACAGATATTAGTCTGTGATGGAAACTATGTTTTTGGTACTAGATATCGGTTAGCTTGAACTTCGTGTTAATCGTAAGTCACTCTTGTTCTGAAGATGTTTTAACTGAGACTTTATTCAATGGTACTGCTGTTAGGTCTGATTCATAGGTTTATTTATGATGCCTTACTCGCTACCATGTGATTTGCCATTCAGACATAACTGTCTATTTAAAGTACTTTTTTCAGTGTTTTTGACTGCAGAGGGAAGGGATACAGAATAACTCAGTTTGTATAAACTATTGCACATTACTGGTTTGCAGCTTACATAGAAATATACATTATTTGAGGCTATCAATTCCTCCGGGGACAGTGGTTGGGTGAGTAATCTGGTATTTGACTAGGTAAGTGTGGACTGTGTAGGTGGAGATATATTTAGATGAGATGACGTTGGTCGCGTGCTCAGACATGGTTTTCAGTGAAAATTATTCTTGTGATCCCCATGTTATAACGTCTGAGTCAACAGTCTTTACTGTAATGCTTGAGTTACTGCAATAGGTGAAATGACCAAGTGGGATTTTGTTTCATATGAAGACTAACTTTTCAACCGAAAAAAGAAACGTGTAATAGGTCATTTCGGCCGTTGCTAGGACGGTCTTTAGAGTCACTCTTGTTTTCTGTCGTAAATTACTGTGAAAAAACTCCAGCCTGGAGTATTTCTGCCAGAAAGTGAGTCACTATCAATCCCTTTATTGTTTTTATGACTGCTAGCGTTGTTGGTTGTAAACAGGAATAATATTTATATTGGGAAGAAAATTATTTCATTTCTCAGTAAAAAAAATGAATAAAAGATATTTCTTGAAATTTGTGAAGTTTTCGGTGAAAGAGTGCAGGCTTGAAACTTAACAGTCACAACTAGAGTGATCACACTTTGGTATGACATGCACAGAACTAGAAGGGTCTGTACAAGCTTTTCACTCGATTTATGGAGACGAATCAAAAACAGCTTAAGGACAGCACAGTCTTACACTTTCAGGTAGTAGGGACACGAAGTAACACCAGTTACTAACTACATAGTATTGGTAGCCATATAGATGCTAATTTTTATAGCCAAATCAGTGATTAGGTTAAATGGACAGTGACGTATAGTGGATTCACCTGATGGCGAAAATCTTAGTGACAAAAGTCGAAACTTGGTTAGCAACTGAGTGTTGTTTCTCAGTTGGTAAACAGCCTGGTTGTTAACCTGTTCAGTGAAAACAAACATTTTGATATACATATCTCCTCATATTAAAAAGTCATTTTCAGTCACATGATGTGATTTTGACCAGATTCTTTAATTATTTTCACTTGAAATAGTAGCAAATTGAAATAAAAACGAGTGAAATAAATGAAGTCAAGCTAGTTTTAGAGTCTACGCCCTTGAGGTTTGTCATATGACCGGTTATTAACGCAATTTTTCAGACTGTGTATTACATTTTTTAACACAGACAAGTGTGTTATATTAATGATGGATAGTGGTAAGCAGTGGTATCCAGGAGATGCATTTCTTTCTTCTTCTTGGGACTCATTAGCTGGCTTTTCCCAAATAGGATGGAGCGAGCCACAATATATCATTAATATCAAACCGAAAATACCAGTAGTATCGAGACATTATTACTGGAGCCCATATGCCGATAGTGACCGATCGATTTGCTCCAGTCAACGATGAAAACTTACAAGCTGTCATATCTATGCATGTGAATTATAGTTGAAAATATTCACCGATCGAAAATGCTCGTAAGAGAAAGCAATACTGTCTACTTATATTTCAAAAACGTTTTTAGTTTGGGAGTACCGGTAACTTCAACGCCGACAGTGTTGACTGGAACATGTGAAATCTATTTGGAACCTCTAAACAACGAAATTACACATAAAAGTGCAGTTCATTTGACGCCAAGTGAACGGAGTGTATGCCTGCACCTATTCACAGTGAATTGTTCTCTGACCAAGGGTTTTATTTGGTAACTTTTTCAATGTCATACTGGACATTATCATCCGAACATCATCATCATCTTTCTGATGAATGTGTATCGGCACGACATCATTATTGTCCATTTTTCCATATACTACTAAATGTATTTCAGGGCAACTTTAAAGGCCATTTAGGTAATTAGTGTATTAACCAGTCAGGTTTTGGTATTCTGGCCAGAAAGGTAGTTTTCCGTAAAATAGAGGAAAAGTAATTGGCTATCTTAGTAGTTGCTAGGGTGGCCTTTAAAATAAGTCGTATTTCAAGAAAAACAATCGGAAAATTCTCACTTGGTCGTTTAGGTTTGCACTCAGTTGCGAAACAGATTATGTAATAATCATCACCTAATAGCTGATTGGAAAGGTTGATGGTTTGGTTGCTGGGCTGAACTGTTAGTAGTAATAAACATGCTAAGGTCAAATACACTCAACTGATTGGTAAAATATAAAATGAAACGCTTAATTTAAATTCATCTACTAGCCACTTTTAAATGCTACACTTTACACAACTGGCCAATGAGGCAAAACTTGACCGATGCATTTTAATCACTCATAAAAGCTTCATCGTCTACTCGTCAGCAAGATTTGAGCAGTTATCTGAGAACAGACCTTTTAGTCATTTACGCCTACATATTCATTTGGACTATTCTGATTGTTTAAATCTGCATCTCATGCTTCAAACGTTACATGTGTTAGTTAGCTACTGATGACAGCGAAAAACAGAAAAATGCTAACAACAGTTGGAAAACAAAATGCAGAAATTACCTAAAATTCTTTTCATCTCTTCAATCACTTGGCTCAAACGAAACAAGCTGTTTTGCATATGCTCTTTCTCTATAACCAACATTTTTTTCCGTTTATACTCATGCATACTAGTTGGCGGGGGGAATCGAACCAGAGCTGGTTTAGGCAAAGCAGTCGCCTCCAAGAAATAGTTGGATGCACCACCAACAGAACCAGGTATACAACGTTTTGCTTGTAAGTCGAAATTCTGGAACTTTGAACCTGTTAACTTTGCATATCCATGAGATGTTGAAGATTTATTCTTCCACAAATACGCTATTGGTTTTTCACTCAGTGCTGCTTTCAAATGTGATAAGTGACTTTCTTTATGCTTGATAAGTGAATAGTTGATACTTCGACGAGTATATCCACCTGCATGAATGGAATATTTACATCTTTGTTGGTTTTGAACAGCTGAAATATCTATCTGTGGAGTTTTGATTGGTTCTTGTTCTTCTCCACTTGCATCATTTTTTTCCTCTTTAATTTCTGTGAGCCATTTTGATACATCCGGCTGATTTTTGTATCAAAAATAAAAGTAAAACTGAGTGGAAATAACTATTTGAGGTGGAATAAGTTTACAAGTTTTGTTTTACTAGACTTTCTGCTTTGACTTATTCTGAGTGTGACCTCACCTCATCAATCCTCTCCTTTTAGCCACACAGTTAATTTGAAGTACGAAGCATATATAAAATGGCGATGCTGGATTTCTGTATTACACCTTATGGAATTGAAAAGGGTTACTTTTAAGGTGTTGTATTCTTGAATGTTCATAGTAGCCCTCTAAGTGACTAACTACAGTGCGATGTAGTCCTGTATCATTTGGCTGCATTTTAGTCCGTTTTGCATGTCACATAGTGAAACAGTATTATTTTCTTGTGATATCAGGGTAGTCACACAACATTCTGGTCTAGTTTTTATAGTTCTGCAGTTTTTCATTCCTTGAATTAGTTGGTAATAAAATTTCCCACATATCAAAAGCTGGTACTGCTCCATTTCTGTTACATGTCAATTCAATAAACAAAGTTTCGATTGTCAGTCTTTCTCTTCATCATATCAAGTTATTTTTTTAAAATTACCACTGTATCCCATTCTACTATGTGATTGCGTGTGACAGCATGCATGGCTAATGGTGAGCTTTGTTATGACCAGTGGTACGACCTAACAGTCTACGGGCGATGCGAACCTAACGCGTAAGCGAATCGACTCTGACGTAAATCAGAAAGTCAGCCACCATTACAACAATACCATCCACGCATGAAGACAAAAAGAGAAGACGGACCTTTGACACAAAGCTTATATTGTCTCAATAACAGTCAGAACAGCTAACGGTGATGCTGAAAGTATACATTTCTAAATGACCTTGACAACGCTAAATCCATATATAGGTGAAAATAGTTAACAACCAATGAGAGTTCAGCCTTGAGGACAGAGGCAAGAAAAAACTAGTAACGGTGTAAAAACAGCCATGTCGGTTATTTCAAGGTCATGGATAAAACAGCAGGCAAATGTTGTGCAAAATTAGGGGGATATAGCAAGCTCTTTCCTGGATTTCTTATTATGTTAGGGTCTACCATTTTAAACTTGGGTAGGTTTCGATGTCCTTCTAACTTTATTAACTCGTCGGCTAGTTTTGTCTACTTATTCAACCTGACGTTTATTGCACGGGATTTATTTAGACCAAAATGTTTGGATTGATGGATTCAACAAGATCTTTTAACCGATAAAGTTTGTTTGTGGGTTTAAACGCCACTCTAATCTCAGTCTTGTTAAGAATCCTATGCAGGGCTTCTGATATCTCTTATTTATGAAGGCTTTACAATCATTCCCCATGGTTTCATTATTGACGCTGTTTGTCTCAGCAACCGTATTAGTAGGTGCATTTTTCCTACTTCTCCTTATTAATTTCTGGGGTAGCAGTTGAATAGTAACACATCATTTATAGGCTACATCGCTTTACATAGATTATGTACATGAATCTGTCATCAATTTGCGACCAATTTAGCCGTGTAGTGCTTAGTGCTCAGAACTATTGTAAGTCGATCAACCACTTTTTACCATTTGACTACTAAGTTGAGTGATGTGATCTGCAGAGCAATGTACTTAGTGTGAGCTGTTGGGCATCAACCAACAGAAAGTATTCACAAGTGAATCTTTACTTTTTATTCTCCCAGAACAGAACAAGAAACTAAAAGGCATTGTCAAACCTCCTATCAATGAAAGACAGAAATAACTTGGTCTTTTATTTCCAAATTAGAAAAGGCCTTCATCAAAAGGTTCACATTTACGTTGCGCTGGTGAATTTTTTTGCATGTGATTTAATATAGTACCCCATTGAACTTGAATTTGACTGGTTACTCATAGGAACTATTTGATTAGTAGACATCCGTGTGATGCTACTGTCGTTCAGTTGTTCATTTTTTCCGTTAGAGCATTATTTGATGCACAGGCTGTAACTATATCAACCTTTCGACTGATTACCTTCAAAAACCGAATGCTACGCTAATAAGAATTCTCTAGTGAAGTCGGGATATTTCGACTTAATCCTTTGACATTTTTAAGAGAGAGAATTGGGTTCATCCCTATCTATCCATATTCGTTAAAATAAGGTGTGATGGAAAGTGCTGATCTACAGATAAACAATATTTGTACAGTCATTGTCCAAGGTGACTGCCAGTATATTCACTATAATTGTGTTCAAATCTTAGACTGCTGATATCGAGAACAGCATCTGTCTTTTGAACACTTGAACGTTGGGGAGAACACTTTGAAGTACACTTCGACTGGCCTGCAACAACGCCTCAGTTGCTAAACGTACAGCCTCAACCTGAATAGGATGTAGATGTCGGTCCCCCAACTCTCCTTGAGTTTGAGGAAGTTGTATTGAACCCGAAACGTTGCGATGCAGTAGAACCTGACAGTTCTCCACCTAGTTTATAAAATCCAGGGGTAGTGCTGTTAAACTGGTCTACTTCACTGGTCATCGCAGTCTTTGTGAAGGGAGGGGAGTCTTTCTATGTCAACCATAGGGGAATCAGTTTGACTAATAGTGCTGGAATGCGGGTAACTTACCGGTCAGTGGCTGGCACTTACCATATTTGTTGAGCTGAAGAGTGACATTTGACTCTGTCGAACATGAGGTGTTGTGTCAGTGTCTGGGTGTCACTGTGAGTGTGAGTTTGAAGGGAGTGCCGAGCAAATATGTAATACTTATAGAAACTGTCTACTGGAACTCATGCAGCCGTGTAGGAGCTTATGGAGATTTGTCATCAGAACTGACGACAACTGGTGGTGTCTTCCAAGTGTGCCCAGTTATACACGCATTAATGGAGATAACCTTAGGTATGCCTGACTTCACAGGGATTGATCTACTCCATGCAGGCCACCTGTTTGACTTGAAGTGTGCAGACGATATTGTCATGTTAGGTGAAGGCACTGGCGAAATGCAGGGTTTTGTGAATACGTTGGTCGGAAATCTGAGTGTGTTCGGCATGCTTTCCGGTCAAACCTGTAAAATGTAAGGTGATGCTCCAGAACTGGTCTACTGCAAGAATCCCAGTTTAATGATATAGAGTAAGGTGGTTGAATGTGTTGACCACTTCATTTACTTGAGAATTTGCATCACTCCAAACAGGTTGGTTGCTGACAAAATCTCAGCTCGGACACATAAGACCTATTCAGCATTCACCAACTTGAGTCATCTGTGGCACTGACTGGCAAGATATCCAATTACCTCTCAGAGGACGAGCATATTGCATTGCATTTCGTTCTGTCCTGTTGTATGGCTGTGTGACACGGCCGTTAAAAGTAGAAGGCATGGAGCAAACACAAGGTTTTGACCACAGGTGTCTTCATGGCATTGTTTGGGTTTGGTGGAATCACCGTATGAGCGATGTTAAGATCAATTGAGGGGTGTTAGTCAAGTAAATCAAGTCGAGTGATGAGGTTGTGAACCTCAGTCGACTGAGATGACTTGGACATGTGCTGCGCATGCCGACCCACCACTTACCTTGATGTGCCATGCTAGGAGAGGCTTGATTTATTTGGAAGAGGGTTAGTGACACCAGTCGATGAAGTCTCTTACTGTTAGTCTGAGCTGTGCGGGGAGATGTAGACCAGCTGGCTGGGTCGGGTCCGGAGACGAAAGTAATCAGTGGTTTAGGACTCTTAGTGGCATGGATGAAAATCAGTCACAGTGGCGCAGAGGTATTCATTCCTAGACATTTTCTAAAGCCTGAATATTCGCACTAACTTTTACCTTCAGATTTTTGACCCTCTGACACTACTTTATCTTTTTTGATATCACTCTCTTTCTATCCACCTTCTCTTTGTGTACTACTGTACAACTAACTCATAAAACTAAAAATACCTCAGTTTTAGTTGTATCATTATGTAGACAAAGTTGAAGAAATTAACCCGTGGAATTTTGTCACAATAAAGTTTATTTCTGATCCTCGTTGAGAGGGGCATAATATGTAAAAATGTAATTAGACTAGGTATTTTGCTTCTTGGAGCTCAGAAAATCTTTTTGTTAGAAGCTTTTGGAGACCTAATGCCTAGATTGAACATTCAACGCGCTTCCTCTAATGTCAAAACTAGGCATTATCAATAAGCTGCTCTTGAACGCTTGAACATCACGTAGGAGACATTTACTTAGCGTAATCCACATTGATTATCAGATGCTACGGTGGTAAAGGTAGCAACTTTGAAGTTAAGACTTGCAGAAGGTGTATGGGCTGAGCATGTAACCTACATCAGGCAGCGTTTTGTGATGAGCAGCGCTAACCATACGGTGGTAAACATATTAATAACCTTATCTAAGAATACTTAATCATGGATTTCAATTATTTGAAGAGCCACTGGAAACCTAGTAGCACTACACAACTGTTCTGTCCTAGTTTGAGACTCCTCAAAAGTGTGCACCTACAACACCCCGAGGAATCCAGCCCAGAAGTGCCGAGTTTTACTTTGATCAAGCTATCATTTGACCACTGGTTGGAATGGTTCACTGATTCACGACATCCCACGACCATCATCTAAAATCATTGGATGACTTGGTTGGCCCTTAGGTCACGAATTCTCATTAGAATTTTGAGAAATCTATCAGAAAAACGAGTCATCTGTGAGCATCGGACAGCAATTCAGTTTTTGGTTTGTAAGAACTTACTGCTTTGAAAACGGTTTTTATCTTAATGTAAATTTAACTAGAGAATGGCATTACTTCCCTTTCATATAGGATCATTTAAACTTATTCAACCAAGACTAAAGAAGTTTCTTAGGCATAAAGTATACCTGGCATATTCCCATATACATAAACTCATTCGCAACTACACATTTAAGTGATTTAAACAGTTTGTACCAATTAGTAGGAAACCCTTAATTTAAGTTTCCTAATAGTTGGCGCTCGTCAGAAAGATCTATCTGTAATCTCAAGGGAAGTTATGTCCCTCAGAGATTTAAGCTCACGTCAGCCAGTACTTCAGTTAAAGTTGTTATCACATTTAAGTGCAGATAGTCAATGTATGATTTTATACACGAATGAAGCATACTAATATTATGCTCGGTTTTCAGGTGAATTACAGTAATGATTCCAGCATACAGTCATTGCGTTAAATAAATAAAGGCATAGAATACAATCTCCTGACTAATTTTAGATATTCAGTAAATATTCAACCAGCATTTGAATTCATATCTCAGGTCGTAAATGTGGTCTGATCTATTCATTTAGGATAGTCACAGCTGATAGACCTAAAAGTTAAAAAGATTGTTTTTGTTTATACAAATCAAGCACAGCCTGTGCAATATGTACTACTGATATTCAAAAATAACTGGTAACTTTTGACAATAAGACTGTGACTATCTAACCATTTAGAATAATATTATCCAAACCGCAGCTGCATGTCGTAGATCAGTCGGTAGAGCGCTAGGTCGGTGACTCGGAGGCCGCTGGTACTAACCGCACCGCAAACCACCTTTAATCATCACCCAGTATCAATAACAATAGTTAATCTAACTAGACATACACTTATCATTACTGGCGAGTGATCGGAGTCCACATTGGTTCTCCAAAAAGAGCCTCTATCCTCCACCGATCCTCTCTAACACTGGCTTATAGCAATGTGATCTATGTGGCCGATGTTGGTTTGAAGTCAATGGATGTCATATGAGACAGTGTCTCTCTTTACGCTTAAAGTTAGTGCTGGCCAAAATAATTGATTTTTAGGACAAAACTGCAACAGATCATCACCGCTGTCGGTTCATTGGGAAGGCATTTCGTAAATAACCACAAGATACCTTTCCTATTGGCTCAGCTTCCCTACTTGAGCGGTAAAGTCACCTGCCATTATGACTACATTTGAACGTTTTTTTCTTTCTGTAGCGAAGCTGACAGGTTTTCATAGAATTCATTCTTTGCATTATCTGAACTGCAGTCGGTGTGTGCGTAGTTGGAGATAAGGAATTAGCATTGGTCAACCTCACGATCTTTTCTAATTCTTACAGATGCATTCAGTCGAACAGTCTTCAAATGGCTATTTGCTGGTATCCAGTTGAGAAGCACACTTTCTGCCCTATAACTGAATTCTATGTCTACACAAGAGTTGTCCACGAAAGCTGACCATTGAGCCTACGGATATTCTCAAAGTGAATTTTGAAGATTCACTACTATGACCAGGTGAGGTCAATTGAATCATTGCACTAGAGCTGTCTTTACGTGTTTCGAGGACGCAGCATACATTCATGGCTAGAGACTCCAGAATTCTGAGGAGCAATTTTTCCTATTCATAAAATTCGTCAAACTTGGTTGTGAAGATTGATTCTCATTGTTATTGCAAAACATTTGGATACTGCATATTTTGGAGTCTTTCTATTTTTGTACTTTATTAATACTTTGCAAGTTCCTGAGATTCTTAGTTTCATGTAGTAAATTATACCATCTAGTCTCACCCTGAAGCAAATTTATTTAAAATAATAGATCTAGTGTGGTTTTCTTTACCTTATTTATCACAGTTTCAAATGGTTTCGAAAAAGATTCCTTATCTGATTTTGTTTGTTTATTGATTATCCTTCGTAATGTTAGCAGATTTGTCCAACACCTCTATCGAGTTACTTTTATCTGACTTGACATTTACTATATTGTTATCTTTTGGAAGGCCTTTAGAACTTCAATTTCTTGTTTTGTTAAATCTCTTCTAACCTTTTTTTGTCATCTTAGTTCTAACGCCCAGTGTGCTCGTATCTCTTCTCTGATCGTTTTATCTACTACAGTTATACTTTGGCTAATTAATGATGCAAGTGTGTTATTATATGTGCATAGACTGTAAATATGAATGACATATGGCTGTTGCTAATCACTGCGATGCTAACAAGGACGAAACCTATTTTGCGAGCTGTCTGCTGACCACTTGTATTTATTCAATATCCAGTGGGGTCGATTAAAAACGTAATCTTACGCTGATCACGAGTACTTCAAAAATGATCTACATCACTTTACTGGGTAAAATATAACTTACTTTGACCAGTTCTGTTTTCACCTCATCTTTACTTTCTCTTTCTGTCTCAGCTGAACTGTTTGCATTGGAGGTTAAACATACAATTTTGTTTGGATGAATAACTGGTAACCATGGTGATAATATAAGCTGATTTGTTATCTCTGCTTCTTCTGTAATTTCTTCATCTAAGTGGTCATATGATTCCTTGTCTTTTTGCCTTTCTTCTTCCACACGTGAATCTTCTTTTTTATATTTAGTAGAATGTCTTCGATTGATTCTAAAACTTTGTTTCTTCTCATTTCTACTTCTTCTGGCTAACTTTCGTGACTCTCTGTATAAACGATTCATTTTGATTGCAACCTAATTAGGGTGATTTCAAACACCAACCAAGAAAGGAATTTTTTTTACAGAGATACATTGTTTGTGTAGAATTTGAAAAGTCTCTTACTGTAGCGTTGGGCAACTCAACTCCAACTTTGAAAGCATGAGTTCTTTTGAGATTGCTGGTTAGTGCTAAAATGCAAGATTCCCTAAAAACTACTTAAAACTGGAACTTTATGTGATTCACACAGGTGTTGTTTCGAAAACTAGTCTACATTTGTGAAGAGTTATAACCGTTCGGCGTAATTTTGTGGTTCAACCTGATTGTTGCAGAAATCTTGGCAGGGATAAACAGGTAAGAAGGACAGATTTGTGATTTAATGACTCACACTATATTTGGTACCCACCATATGTGCATTCAAGCACTGTGATAGTCAAAAGTACACATACATCGCTTTTGAAGATAACTGAAACCATCAAGCGTAGAATTAAAATGTTATGTGTAGTGATTTAAGACAATGAGAACAATGTACCCATTAGGTTGAAGTGGATATCAAGCACTTTATGTCAGTGACTAAATAAGGTTATCACGTTAATTGAGGTGTCTCAAAGAGGGAGATACGATTACAGTTAATGAGGTCGCTAACCATCAATTTGATTGGTTTAAAGAGTTCTAAGGGACTGATGAAAATCAGCGGTTAGGGATTTTCAACAACTTAGTGTAAAATGGATCTCAACAACATACTTGCAGTCATTCTTTTCGTATATGTTGAACATTTATTACTTTCAATCCTCAATGCTTCCCGTTTTATCCGATTCCCCTGTTTTCAGATCTTCATATCGTACGCCTTTTACTGATTCAAACTGACAGTTTGAACTAACTCTAAGAAGAGAAGATTTTGAAGTTTCAAAGCCAAATATGGAGCTATTAAAACGATTCAGTCAAAATTGCGTTCAAAAAGCAACTGAGCATTTCACGAGTGACTTCAACGATTACCCTAGCAACGACTAAAATAACCAATCAGGTCTCTTCATTTTAACTGAAAAAGTGGTTTTTTCCATAAAATGCAGAACTGTAATTCGTTACTTCAGTCGGGGTTAGGGTGAACTTTAGAGCCACTCCATTTCACATTCAAGGTTAGAAGATTAGGCAATTACGAGCGAAATTTAAAGTCATCCTGACAACAACTGAAATAATCAACTAAACTTCTCCAATTTATGAAAATTTATACTTTTGGCTGAAACAAGGAAGCTTAAATGACCATTTCAGTCATTGCTAGGGTGGCCTTTAAAGTAACTTAGCGATTTCACTACTTATGAAAATACTCTGATGTTTAAGTTTTAGTAGACATTGAGTTGATATCTTTTGAACTTATCAAAACTTTACGTAGAATCCTCAACAGAGCTAGAATTGGGGTGGTATTTAAACCTACAAACTTACTTAGAGATAAAATTTGTCGGCTTAAGGATAGGATAGAACCAATTGAGCAAAATAATATAATCAATCAAATCCCATGTAATGACTGTGAGGTCAGGTATATAGGCCAAACTAGTCGGTCAGGATCAATTAGAATAGCCGAACATAGGAATTTAGCTAAATATAGAATAACAGACCTAAATGAGATCAGTAATCTAGAAAAAAACTCGGCTATTGCTATGCATGCATTAAGGGACAACCACACAATAGGATGGGTAGGGTGAAGCCACTGTACTTATGTCCAATATAATTAGGTGGAGAGAGAGATTGATTACTGAATCTTTACTCATCGAATCAACACTCAACACATGTAATAGAAATGACACAACACCTACACCAGAGATCTGAAAAATTTTGCTGCCAATAGAAATAACTCGTATAAAATGACATAACTATAAAAATCAAATGTTGAAAGTAGTGTGATTACATTGATATAATTATGAGCAGTGGTAATTTATGCTCGAAACGTCATCAAGTAAATAATAATAGATCACCAGTGTTATAAATCAAATAAACAAATCTAATATGGAATTAAATTCTACCACGGTGCCCAAGTTTTGCACCTAGATTAAAAGGTATATTCAACTAATTTTTATTACATAAAATTAAAACAAATGTAGATGTGAAGACAACGAATTCTGTTCGATGTTCAGGGTGAGAGAGAAATGTTCTTGACAAGCACATAATGACCCAGTCCAATGGATGAAATAAATTCTACATTTTAACTTTCATGGACAATTTGCAAGCATTTTTCACAATAATTAAAGGAAGTTTTTTTCCTTTTTCTTCTGGAATATAATTTCAGGCAAATGTTCTATTACTGATACGTTTAAAAAATGCTGAATTATGATGAACTTGCTGAGTGAGCAAAGTTACAATTGGTTGTAGTAGCTCAGGTTAGTGGAGTAAGTAATTCTTTGTACTTTAGGAATGTATGTTGACCAAAATAATTCGTGCAAATGTTAAGTTTAACCAAGCCGGTCGTTACTTTGAAATAACATGCTGAATTATACTGAATTATCACCACCAAAACCAAAAACATGTTAACATTCCTTGAAGTTTCTGATGAGTACATTACTCATAACAAATGAACATTCTAGTATTGTATGTGTTCCGAGACTGTAGGCTTACTGAATAGGGTCCTTACAGTAATCGAAACTGTTAGTTAAAATAATTATTTACCTTAATTCAAATTCAGTGACAGTGGTACGGATTCATTCACTCACTATATTCGATAAATTCTGAGCCTTCAATTAGTTTACTCATTTACATTGATGGATCACTTGAGATCAACCAGTTTCATGTGATCTGGTTCACAGTGGTGAACGAATTCTATCCATCATTTTGCAGTACATTTGTAGAGCTAGAAGACTTACCATCATGGTACACTCTAAATGTTACTAATCCCTTGGAGGTGATGGATAAAGAGCTCTTTTCTAAGTTTGATGCTTGGTGGACCTGGTTAGCAGGGCATTATGTCAGCAGCCTTGGGGGAACTGACAAATTCTCAGAGATCTCAATCTACTTGTTGTTCTTACTACTTCACTTCTTGGCTTCTCTTTTCTTCGCCTTTTAAGAGTGTGGTAACATGGATCAAGGCATTCGTTTGCCAAGTCCTCTGACAGTAAAATCAGTATGTTATTTGATCAATTACTCACTCTTAATTTAAATACATCCAACCATTGAGGTATAATCGCAATGTGACTATTGTGCAGAACTTCACTCTCATTATCAAAAAGTTACACATTATCCTGTTGTCATTTATTTTCATAAGAATTATAGATTATTCAAACAACACCAGTCTTGTGTAGAGATGGACTACGTTTTGTGTTCCGCTCTTCATTTGAGGAAAAAATTTTTTCACATGAGCTAGCTTACTTGGTGTCGAGAAACCATTTTTCGTGACCGAAATGAGAGTACACTTGAAAAGTGTTTTAAACATGTTAACGAAAATATTTTTTTATTTCAAAGCGGGAATAATTATGGTTGCTTTCATACAAATCTATCTATAAGATACTTTGTGATTTCATCTATTCGCACTTGGTAAAATAAAAGGAATACTGATGAATACTTTTGAAAAGTATGCAGAACTATTTTTATTTTTAAACCGTTGAGTGATACGGTTCGGTGAGCATTTACGCATCTTTTTATTGGATTTGAAGCTCAATGAAGATTAATATTAATGATAAGAAAACAGTTAGCAGTACAGTCTATGGTATGAATTTCGTCCGATGGATGTACTTACCTATCAGTGAGTGATGTTGCTCTCGGAGTAAATTTATATTAGCGACATCCAAAGTCGATTATTTAACAACTACTGGATAGGGTTGGCGACTGAAGTGATACCTTACTTCATAAGCTAATTGTTACGATTGTTGAAGGAGCTTTGATTAGAAGCACAAGAACAACAAGATAACCATACAATCATCACTTGTTATAACGCATTGAAGGAATGAAAATAGGAATATGAGACAAGGATTATCCGCCATATTCTTCTAATACACTTTAAATGACATTTTGCTGAAAACTTATCGTAACTCAGCTGGTTCGAATCCTGGTGTGGCAAAGAATTTCATTTCATTTTCAATCCATACCCAGAATCAATACAAGCCTGCTAAGCCACGGCTATCTAAGTTAGCCAAACTGATGAGTTTTTTTTTAATTACCTACTCAATCAATTCAGTGCGATTCACAGTTATGAAGTAATTATTACACGCTAAGTGGGTTTCATTATGGTGTACTATTCCTGTTTTTATGTATCAGTTGTTTCATTTTTATGAACAGTGATGCCTTTCACATATGACATTCAGATACAATATATGTGGAATGACTCAAAAGGCCACCCTAGCAACTTCTGAAATAGTCAATTAGGTCTCACTGTTTGAGCAAAAAGCCACCTTTCTAGTCGAAATAGAGAAAAATAACTGGCTAACTATGCAGTTACTAGGGTGGTCTTGGGATTCATTCCATATGTATGACTCAGATGGTTTGAACACAAGTGATATTTACAGATCTTTAACTGTAAGACTTGACTGTAAAAGCCACCTTAGTAACTGCATAGTTAATCAGTTAGGTTTCTCTATTCAAAGTGGGAAGTTAGTTTTCATAATTGGCCATCTCACTAGTTGTTACGGTGGTCTTTAGAGTAAGTCAGAAATTAGTCTTCATTTACAATCGTATGCAGAAATGGAAAACAAAGTTGATGAGTGACGTTACGGGTGACCGTGTCAGCTGCCACCGCAACCAATGTTTTATGAATAAACCATCTCTCCAGTAGAAAGAAAAAAACGGAATTGGTTGTTTTAGTCATTGCTAGTGTGACCTTTAAAGTCACTCAAGTCTGACAGTTGAAGGGCTGCAAATATCACGTCTTGAGTTTACTTTTGTAGGTTACGCATACTTGGCAACATTCAGATGGTGAGGCGTGCGGATAGATGGAATCATGTGACAGTGTCAAAATGCGTGACTTTAAAGATTACCTTAGAAGCAACTGGAACAACCAAACAAGTTTCTTTATTTCTGTAGGAAAGGCAGATTTTTATAAAATGAAGAAGTTTAAATG